GCCAGTTGTTAGAAATGCCTTATTTGGTGCAAGAACATAAGAAAACGAACAAAAGAAAAACTATATACCTCCATGCAAACCATATGCCCTATTCTGCCGGACTATAAGGAAACCCCTGTAGTAAAAATTCTAATCTTTCATATAACTGGTACAAGACACTGCTGTACGCTACACATTGCAGGAGAAAATATTCATATTACAGGTTCTTCACACGAACTTCATACATTACTGTACGGTAATATGCTACAAAGATCAATTTTAGAATAAATGAAAGTGTCAATGACACTATAGCTCACCTTGAGTGTAATAGAAGAGGGAGATGATATTTAAAACTCGGTATGTGTTTAATTTATGACGAACCGAAATGTTATAAAAAGGTCCTTATTCCCTGTTTTATACTAATAGAAATTTTACTGTTTTGTTTCAGGGTTAGTTTTGATGCAAAAATAAATGTTTCAGATCTGAAAGTCTGAAATCTGGGCAAGAGATGGTGCTACGCCTAAATGATCGCCATTTTGGTTTTCGATTATTGTGCATTATTATTCGATTATTACTGTAACAAAGAATCTAAAACACAGTATTACACGTAAGTATGATTAGGTAGGTAGGTAGGTAAATTTAAAAAAATCGAATGAATCAAGATGGCCATTTCCATTTTTGCCAAAAAGTGGGCGTGGTTCGAAAGTAGGTCAACTGGCTTGCCCCAACATAGGACGTTCACATCTATCCCATAGGAGTAACAACTGTATGCAATTTGAAACATGTGTGTCAAACGGTTCTCAAGTTATCGTTGACCGTAGCTAAATGTTGACGGAGGGACGGATGGATGGACGGACAGACGGACGTACGACGCCCCATGGCAATAGCTCATCTTGACGATGTCAGAATGATTCAAAATCCACGTAGGGTAACACAGTAGAGCTGTGCCCCGTAAAGGCTGTCCAGGCCTCTTCTTCATGCATGTCCATAACTTCACTAGACCAGGACGCCCAGCATCTTTAGGATCCGGGCAGAGCAACACCCTCATTACCACCCTCATGGATTTAGATTTGCCCTCCCCCAAACCAAGGGGAGGCAGCGAGCAGCATCCCACCCTCTTCGAATCACAGCAACAAGAAAAGGAGAAGACAGACGAATGACTCGCCAGTCAAGCAACCACGTAAAGTCATAGGGATCTGTCCAACAGACAACCAGGCTTCGCCTTTTCATGGGGCCGATCGGCCCAAGCCCCGTAAACAGCCCCATCTCCGGTGTCCACATGGCTTTTTTCCTGGCCCCATCAAATTTTGAGATTCCCAGAATCAAAAACGAAAATCAGCCCCATCAAGTAAATGACAGGACCTTTTTTAGGCCCCATGGTTTTCTCAGATGGCGAAAGCTGGGACACCCCTATAATGATAGATGCTGCAACATCACCAATCAGGATCAATATCAACAGAAACGCACCTGGGTTGCGAGTACCCAAAGAAGCTGAACCAGCCTTCCGAAAGCTGCGGAATCTGAAGGACAAGCTTCACAGGTACAAGACTCACAGATCTCGTATGAAAGAGAGCGTGAGGCACCAAAACTTCCCACCTAGCTTGGAGCTAAAGCTGCTGCCATTCGTCGGCAAACACGATGACGAGTTCATGGTGTCGTGGCACACCTCTCTCTCACAATTTCAAGCACATATGGCCCAACTAACTATCAACTACGCAAAGGATACCGAAGAACAACTGAGCGCATGCGGAGATTAAATCCACCTACGGGGAGCTGGTACAAACTACAGGCTCCACAGCGAAGGCCAGGGAAATAGAAGCCTGTGTGGATGCACTCAACAAACGCGTAGCACAACGGCAACAATCCCTACGCAACAGAAAACCTAAACAAGCACACACTGGGGAAAGAACAACCCACCCTACCAAAAATTCACCACGCATTCTTCCTTCACATGTAACTCTAAGAACCTAATCTATGAAATCTCTTGTCGCAAATGCCCCTCGGCCAGATACATAGGTGAGACCCAGCGTAGACTTAAAGATCGAAATGTTGACCCCCCCCCCCGAGATATTTCCAAATGAGATACGAGCAAACCCGTCAGTGCTCATTTTTCACACGACAACCACATCCCAGCAGACTTCCTGCGCACGATCCCAGCGGCACCGAGAAAATATTTTCAACCGCCCCCCACCCCTGACCAACCCCATACTATCCGCATCAGAACGAAAAGAGAAGCGTATTGGACTGAACCTAAACACCATCCAGCCACACGGACTCCGGGATGGATAAAAGACAGCCCTTTCTGTCACTCGTTTGGGATACGCTGGTAGTATACTCAATGTGTTTCTGACTTTTCACTCTCCAGTAACAACTAACAATTATTGCATTGACTTTACTACTATTTTTACAGCGGAGGATCTCGCATTGCAATTTAACAATGCCCTGTGTTCAACATGCATCATTTGTAGGGAATATGATTGGCTGATTTGTTGATGCCGACAACTCAACGGCAAAATAATACATGCCGATTGGTTGTATTGAGTGTAAGATATATTGTTCTACTAGCACTATGACACAGCCCTTCGCTCCCCATGTGACACAGCAAAGGGTTGCAGAGTTAACCTGCACAATCCTAGGTTGGGACCCCAGCTCTCATTTTCGCAAATGTACTAAACTAATCCAAGGTGCTAAACTAAGATTGGGTCCAGTTGTACTGTTCTACTTTTAAGCTGGGTTTACATTATCAACTTTTTCTTGAAAAGTTGACGAGCTGTCGACTGAAAATCGGCAGTGTAAAGTGTAAACGCAAAATTTGAGCGCTCAACAGGTTGATATTAACTGGTTGAGAGACTAGAATATGTTCTATTTGAACGTTTTCACTGAATTGACCAATTTTTTGGCCAGTCAGCCACTCCAACAATAGCAATCAGGGGGGTGTGTCCCTCCAACCAAGGGGAGCACGTTTTTCGGCGCCGCACTAGTACGACTTAATACATGCAAAAATGCATGTCTACATTGCCTCGCGCGCACAATGTGGGTCAAATGTTGGGCAACGTGCGGGTCATTTCGGGGTGACGTGGATATGCATTTTTACATGTATTAATACACGCCAGCCTGGCACTGACAGCAAAAACATGCTCTCCCCCTGGGTGGAGGGACACGCCTCCTGATTGCTGTTCTCTGAGTGGCCGTATGGCAAAAACATTTACAATTCGCAAACACCGAGTTGGGGAAATCGAACATGTTTAAACTCCCAACTGGTTGGTAGATTGTTGCTCCATTACCAGTTGCGCGTGTGACTTTTACATTTACACTGCCGATTGTTGGTTGTATAACTGCGAAATTGGTCCAATTCAGCAATTTTCCAGCAGAACGTCAGTAGTGAAAACCAATCTTTACATGTACTCATCTCTCCCACACGTGTGAAACTCCACTGATAGCAATGAAATATTGAAATACTATGAGTGTATGCCTAATAAATACAAAGCTAATACTTTTATTAATAATGGAATAAATTGAACAAATTTAAGGGCCTGTTCAAACTTGTAAGGGCCTGTTCAAGTTGTATAAGGGCCTGTTTAAATTTTGGGTGGGCCTGCACACATTTTGGCTAATTTCATGCCCTGTTGCACCATAATAACTATGTAGGAAAGCGCCAAGTGTAGGAAAGCGCCGGCTTTTCCACACTTATTGTTTACATTTATAATTTCCCATGAGTCTGCATGAGCTTCGCCGCACGGCGTAAGCAACCAATATAACACCAATATCAATCGCGCCATATCCGCCGGGTGATATGCTGGTGTCATTATATATCTATTATGGACCGGACTTGTTGACGCCAAACTCGCAGGGAGAAGCGGACTTGGCCCTCATCCCTGCCGCAGCACGGTCCACGGTCCTAATCCTATTCCTTCTATACTCCTCCTTGCCACATTCCCCTCCTACTCGAGGACTCGGCTCTGATCCTTTGACTCCGATAGTCCGTTTGTTGTCCTGCTCCGATCGTGCCTAGTTATTCTCACACACAGTCCAGCGATAATTCTCTGTCCATCTTCTACCCTCTATCTTCACCCTGGCTGAGCGTCTTCGCGAACCTCCTTACTAAGGTACGAAATCACTGGTATTCTCTGTGTGTAGGCATCTGTGTAGTTTCGTGGAGTTGTGTTAATTTAGACTGTTAAGAGTATATTCTGTGGTACAATAGAACATACGGAGAGTAGCTTTATAATACTGCGTTTGTGTTATCTATCTGTGCTATCTATCGTGGACTCTATCGACGCAACCTGTTACTACCCTTAAGGAACGGGTGCCACTAGCGCACCTACTAAACCGTAGAACCTGTGGGATCAGCAAGCTGAGTGGCTTGCTTAGAACTATCCTGAACAGAGGCGTTTAAACCTTGGACATAAAGTTAAACCGGTCTGAGCTCTGCAAGTCTACTTGGCAAAAAATAAACAGTCCTCACTTACACAGAAGAACGTGAGGACAAGTCACAACCCAGATATTATCAGGAATATTTAAAACAACCCAGTTTTGCTGACATTATAAATACCAATAACACAGATTATAGATATAATATGCCTGATATTTTAACCATGTCTACAGTGCAAAAAACATGTTCATAATGCTATCCCTACAAACACAATCAATTACGCAAACATAATTGACTATGCCTGCAGTCAGTAAGAATGGGCCCCCAACGCTGTAAAAACGTCAGTGCATACACTATAGCTCTAGTACTATAGACCTTCACTCTGCCACAGGCCTGAAGGGCAATAGTACTAGAGCTATGTATAAACGTGCCCTTGGTTGCGAACAGCAAACATTAAATTTATTGGTCAACTATCATCAATTTTCCATTTCTACTGTAGAAACACCATATTCATCATGCAATCAAACAGAAGTTAGAAAAATGCAATTCAATAATTTGGTGTGTACTAGGATGACATGATACCATGCAGCTGGGACATCTTCATTCTACTGTTCTAATATAAGGATGACTATATCTACCCACGACTCACCTGACGCAAGGAATTTGCGTGACCAAAGTGGCACATATCATAGCTGCAACAAAACAAAAAAATGCAACTTAATGACAACAAATAAATAATTTAGGATTAGGTAGAAATCCAACTAACAGGTGTTTTTACGAAATGTTGAACTTGTAAAATGATTTTGTTGACAATTTACTGCAATTTTCACATCCCATGACCATACAGAATTAACAACAATGTTAAGATAACTGAAGTTGCTATCACATAGTTCCATGTAAAGCTTAGAGCAGGGTTCTCCCTAGGCCTTCACTGCATATCTGGTCTGAAATGCCTTCAAAGACAATGCTAATTTAATATACAACATCCCATAAATCATCTGACATGCCTCAACTGTTATGCCTTAACATACTTAAATCGATATGTATTAATTTCTAATTGACAATTGTGTCTATTTTCGAGAATCCCAAGACATGCATTATACATGCATCCCAACAGTCCCGCTACTATGTATTGGGACACATATGACAAGTGTAATCAAGCCCAATTAGCAATTAAGGGTGAATTGCCAGATTGCTCGACATCCCTTGCGTAATTCCTAATAGTCCGGCAGAAAAGATGGCTTTTTTGCTTGAACCTTGCAATTGGGTATATAGTTTTTTTTATTGCTCTAAAAGTTTGCCTTCATAGTCTACTTCAATGATCCACCAACTGTCACTCTGGCAGTGGTGGGGAATTTACTCTACATACCCTTTATTTAATACTAGCTGCGGGTAACCGCTGCGCTGCAAAATCGTGCTACTAATTCATACTACTAATAATCGGACACAATAGGAACATTGGGTAAAAATGGAGAATAACATTGCACACAATATCAATATTTACAAATCAGTCTAATAAGATAATAAGTATGGTAAAAAACTGTTACGTATGACATTTAGGTATTCACCAGCACAACCACTTAGACCCCTCGAATGATAGAACTATCGGTGCTAAATGACAACAAAGTTATTATCACAGACACTGTCGAATGGCTTGCACTTCATTTCAAAGCCTCTGATAAGACAAGTGTCTTTTCGTCTTATTCTGCTGGTGCAGATGTTTAGAGATTCACTCGGCGGTCGGTCCAACTGTGGCTCCCACGTTCAGCTGTCCGTGGTCAGAGAAAGCAGGCACTGTCGGAGAGTCGCAGTGCCCACTTGTAGAGGGTTTCAAAGGGAATATTACAACGCAGCCGCTAAGGATGGGGGATGTAATATCTCGTCTTTGACATGGTATATTCAAATACACAGCCACCAATGTTTCAGCCCGCAAGGCACGGCGGTTCCAGGTGCGTATGTTACGGCGTTCCCACTTACGGGCAGTCATCACTTGCTCGCCCTCCACACAGAACCAGGATTTATAAACATCTCTCGAAACAGAGCACACTGTATCAAGAGTTTTATTTTGTGAGGACTTCTAGGTGACACTGCGGACTGTACTGGCGGAGGCCATCCCCGCACACGTTAGTCATTACTGGCCAAGAATGAAGTGCCGTGTAGAGGATTTTCTCCATACCGGATTTAGTATTCAGAGAACAGGTCCCTCAGGACAGCCATGAGAAAGCAGACCATCAATCGTCAGCAGCATCAGCGATAACATGCGAGCGACACAGAAGAGAAAGAGAAGTCATTGTTGAGGCAGATGACACAGGATGTGTACGTCTGTGCTTGCCTGTACGCATCTGACCTCAAATGAGAGGCTTCACATCCCTGATGATAAGGTGCAGTCACCAAGGAAGCGCAGAAAGCTAGTTATGCGTATTAGGTTACTGACGTGATATAACTTATCCAGTATCATTCCCGAATGTTCTACCAGCCCATGCCCTGACAGGCTTGCGACACTCGGCTTCCCATGTGCGCACGCGGATCGGAAGGGCAAGATGTTGAAACTCTTCGAGGAAGGGAAATGCGCTTTGGCCTCCTTGGGCAATCAGCTGCTGACTTTGATCGATGTTTGCTCAGTCCACAGCTTTTGTCTCAGGCATGCTACAACATGCATGACTAGCAAAAAATCATTGACTCGAGTCAAGGCATTAAAGTTGGGAAACAAGACAGGATGAGAAAAGAGCAACAGGTACACGAAGCTGTGCACTCTGGCAACCCACAATGAAGCACTTCAAGAAAATGTCACATACAGACTATCATGTGTCATAGTCATAGCGGCCGTCTATGAATCACCCAGGGTGACTGCCGGAGTACCTGGTACCGGTCGGCATTATACACGACACGTCCCTGGTCACCCTTTTGTTGTTTTGAAGCTTTGA